GAGTAAGGAAATAGGTGTAAGGCGTACTTCTCGGGGGTCAGGACACAGCTTGCCAGGAGCGATCGGCCACCTGTCCTCTTTGGCGGGGCCCACCTCAACAAGTAAGTTTTCCCTTTAAATGTTGGCCCGAGGCCGCGCGCGGCGCGGCTGCTGGCCCTGGCGGCCCGCTCCGGCCACCGATGGGCTGTCAGTCAACCTGAACGTTCCTCTCATCCTCCTCCTTCGGAGCTTCGCACTATGGGGGGGGGGCTGGGGCATGCCGCGGGGCTTCCATAGCTCAGCCTCCTCGCGCTGGCGCCGGCCGCCCCAGCGGAGATGTGCGCAGCGGCGATCTAGAGTGCGCGCGGTACGGAGCCTTTCCAGAGGATGCGTATACAACAACGATCTAGAATACGCGCGGCACTGAGGTGTCAGTGCCCAAGTGCTTCCCCAGGGAGCCTTCAGCGGTACTCTCTCCCTCCGTACCCGCCCAGTGGCCCCGTGGGCCTCGGGTGGGGGGGCCCCGCCGCGCGGGCGCGGTCTGTCGGAGCGGTCGGCCCCGACTTTCCCCGCTGGGCAGCGGTGGCCCCATCAGACGGGTCTGCCCTGGGTGACCTGCTGAAACCAGCAAGCCCGCGTAGCCGACAGTGCCTGGTTTCAGCCCGCGCAGGGGCCTCGGGCATGCACTGACGTGGCCTGGCGAAGAGCGTACCTGAAAAATGGCCCTCCCCCCCCTTCCCCTCTTCCGCCCCCTCTTCCTCCTGCCCGCTGGATCTTGGAACGTTCAGCGTGAATGGCGCCACCGTCGGACCCCGCTGCCGCGCGATGGCCCCGCAGGCGGGGGCCCCGCAGGCGGCGGGGCCGCGCTCGATACGCGCGGGGGGCCAGGCTTGCAGAGGGGGCAGAAGGGGAACGTGGCAAGGGCCGCGTTGGCTGGTGTGCTGTCTTAATCCTGCGCTGTTTGCACTCCGGGCTTCTTCGCTGTCCGCTTCCTTGCTTTCTACTCCGCCGCCCTACGTGACCCTCCGTTTGCCAGTCGCCAATGTGGGCCGCGCGCGCCCGGTAGTCCGGCGTTTGCTAGACAAGTGCAGACAGCGGCTGGGTGGCCTTCCGCTCGGGGCAGTGCAAAGAGCGCGCGGGAAGGCAATTTGTGAGGGAGGAGCCTCTCTCATTTCCATCCGACCTTGGCCCGGCGCGCCGCCGCCCAGCAGACGCTCGGCGACTGCGGGCGCGACTACTGGGTGCGCCCGTGGTCCGAGGGCACGGAGCGGCGGCTGCCGAAGGCGGGGGCGGGGCAATGTGGGGGGGGGAGCCAAGAGGCGGGGGGGGCGCCGAGAGTGGGGAGGTCGCACGCGCGACATGCGATCGATACGCCTGGAGCGCTGCCAGCGGGAGCTGCGAGGGGGCACCCTCGAGCGCGATTCCAGGGAGAAGGGGGGCAACCTGAGACGGGCAGGGTGGAACTCTTCAGGCCCCAATGCCTGTCTGGCGCCCCTGTCTCTGAGGCAGTCATCCCGCGGCGAGCGCTCTGAGTGAGGGCTTAACAGTGAACAGGGTGGCCCTGATAGGAGCATGAGAGCGCTCGTTTGCTCGTTGCTTCGCTGGGCGCTCGACGCATGTTGTTCCAACTCCAAATTGGCAAGCCTTCGCCCATGAAATAGAACCATGTAGCCGAGGTAGTGCGAGCAGGAAAAGAAGGAGGAGGATGAGGAGGAGGAGGAGGAGGAGGAGGAGGAGGAGGGGCAGCAGCATCAGCGCGAGGAAGACGAGAACGAGCGAGCGCCTTGCCGCCGGGATTGCCCATGATCTCCACCTCCACGATGCTCACCACGACGCCCTCGCCCCCGGGGGCGAGCCGACGAAGGGGCAGGAGGATGATATGGGGGGGGAAAATGAGGAGGAGGAAGCGGGGGAATATGAGGTGGAGGACGATGAGGAGGCGGAGGAGGAGGATGAGGAGGATAGGGGAGGGAGGAGGGGGAGGAGGAGGAGGAGGAGGAAGAGCAGGACGGGGGGATGAGGAAGAGGAGGACAAGTACAAATCAGAGGGATATCGGAAGGAGGCGGACGATGGGAGGAGGAGGAGGAGGAGGAGGAGGAGGAGGATCCTGAGGAGGAGGAGGAGGGGGAGGAGGAAGAGCAGGAGGAGCAGGAGGAGCAGGAGGAAGAGAAGGGGGAGGAGGAGAAATAAACAACATGAGATAATGAGGAGGAGGAGGAGGAGGAAGATGACGAGGAGGAGGAGGAGGAGGAGGACGAGGAGGACGAGAAGGTGGAGGAGGGAAAGGTGGAGGAGGGGGAGGAGGCGGAGGAGGAGGAAGCGGGCGGGGGAGGAGGAGGAGGAGGAGGACGAAGAGGAGGAGGGCGACGGTGATGACACTGGCGATGACTACGTTGACGATTGCGGCGCGCATGACGGTGGCGATAACGGCGAGATGGATGAGAGCTTCGCTGCTGTGCCTGGGTTGTGGGCCCAAAGCCATGCTTGGGCCATGGGTCGAAAACCTCACCGCCGTGCCTGGGCCGTGGGCGAGCGCCCTCGCCGCCGTGTCTGGGTTGTGGGCCAAACGCCGTGTCTGGGGCCCCATCCGTCCTGAGGCCCCCGACTGCCCTGCCCAGGGGGAGCTCTAGGAGGAGGACGGGGGGGGGGGGGCCCTCGGGGGGAAAAGGGGGGAGCGGGAGGAGGAGGGCGCTTTCAGGCGGAGCGGGAGGCGGAACGAGAAGGTTACATTCTGAACGCTTCGCGTAACTCACGAGCAGGAATCTTTTTGCGGTCTCCACGGGCTGGAACAGTTTCGGGCTCCTTTTGGGTGAGTAAGAGGCCCTCCTTTTGGACCTCCTTTTCGGGCCCCTCATGAAGCTCCCAGGACCTCCGGGTTCGGGACCCCTGCCCCACAAGGCGCCACATCTGGTGCTCTTTTGGGCCACCCCTTCGGTTTCCAGCGTGGAGATCAACTTCGGGAGAGCCCCAGGCCCTCCTTTGGACCTTCTTATCGGGCCCCTTTGAGGCTCCCAGGACTTCCGGGTTCGGGACCCCCGCCCCGCAAGGCGCCTCCTGTAGGGCCCCTTTTGGCCACCATTCGGGCTCCAACGTGGAGATTAATTTCGGGAGAGTCGGAGGCCTTTTTTTTGGACCCTCTTTTTTGGGCCCCTTTCAGGCTCCCAGGGCCTCCGGGTTCGGGACCCCTGCCCCGCAAGGCGCCTCCTTTGGGGCTTATTTGGGCCACCCGCGCGGGGTCCATCGCGGAGATAAGCTTCGTGGGAGTCGGAGGGCTGCGTCGCCGAGTCCGGGTTGTGGGTCCAAAGCCGTGATGAGCCGTGGATCGAAAACCTCGCCGCCGCGCGTGGGTTTTGGGTCAACAACCGCGCCGCCGTGCGCGGGTTGTGGATCAGAGGCCGCGCTGGGCCATGGGTCGAAATCCTCACCGCCGTGCCTGGGTTATGTTGTGGGTGCCACCATAACGTTGGCTGCGTTGAAGTCACCGAGGACGGCGGGCGCCTTTGTGTTACTCTTTCCTCCACCCGTGTAGCGAGGATCAGGATAGCGTGCATTTGCCCCCTCTTCTTGGAGTGGCTCTTCGGGGCATTCTGGGCTGTCTTGGCGCCCGCCAGGGCTGTCTTGGAGGCAGGTTCAGCCGAAGAGCGTAATGCACCACACGCACGGTGAAACGCACATATGGCGCCGTCGCCGCAGAGCATGATAGCGTGTACCCACCCCCCGTCTGTCCTTGGGTCCACGTGTTGGCGTCGGTGCCCCCCCGGCTCGTGTCAAAAGGCCCCCATGTAGATCCCCCCGCTCGTGCCAGAGGGCACCCCGCTCTTGGGGGAGGGCTAATCACTGCAGCCAGAGTGGGTACCCACGCCCTTTCCTAGAGGGGCTCTGGGGGCCATGCGCCCGTGCGCCCCCCCCTCGAGAGGGCCCCCGCTCTCGCTGGAGGGCCGCGTGGCCAGGGTAGCGCGCGCCTTCCCCGCCCTCCCCGGGAGGGGCTCTCGGGCCCTGAGCCGGGGCGCCCTCTTTGCTGGGGCCGCGGCCAGTTTCGCGTGAACCCCCCCCCTGGAGCTTGGCCTCCACTCCGTGGCCCCATTTACATATACCCCCAGGGTGCTGCTCTCTGGTCCCGTCTTGGGCATCTCCGAAGGCTCTTTTGGATTATATTGAGCGGTGTTGGGGCCCTGTTGGTTGGGCCGTTTCGGGGTTACTGGGGCCAACCTGCGCTGTCTTGGCGGCGTTGTGGGCTGTCTTGGAGCTCTCCTGGCCACTGGGCTGTCTTCGGCGTCTCTGGAAGCCCTCTTGGGCCATCTTTGGGGCTTAGCAGGGCTCGGCAGAGCTTGGCCGGGGGCTCAGCAGGTATTAGTAGGGCGTGGCAGGGTTTAAGGGTCGGCAATCCCCCGTCGTCGAGGTCAGGATTAAGATCTCATGGGGGAGGAACAGGAGGATCAGGAGGAGCAAGAGCAGGAGAAGCAGGAGAAGCAGGAGCAGGAGAAGCAGGAGCAGGCAAGAGCTTCCTCCTGGTCCTCCTCCCTCTTCTTCCTGCCCCGGAGCCCGCCGCAACACTGCCATTTTGGCTGGAGCCTCGCGCGCGCGCCGGCTGTTCTCGGGCCCCCGCGTCGGTCCATCGCGCAGCAGTCACTGTTGATTCCGTCGGGGGCTACCCATGGAAGCGGAGGTGACGTCGCCATCGGGCAGCGAGGCGCGCGGGCCACTTGCGCGGGAGGCGACTTCCCCATCAGAAGGGGCGCCGGACGCCGCAGGTGGCCCGGGCGCCGCTGCCGCAGCAGCAACCCGCGGGGGCCGCGGGCGCGGCCGGCGCGGGCGCGCCGGGCGCAGGGCAGGGCGCGCACGCCAGTGGCAGCGACAGCCCAGAGCAGACGCAACTTCTGGTCCCGAGGTGACATCGGAGCCCACAGAGGCCGCCCGGGTCCGCTGCGCTGGGAAGAGGTGGGAGGAGCTCGCGCAGGAGACACGGTGCGGGAGAGGGAGAAGAAAACGTCATCGAATCGCAGCGCCCGACGACGAGGAGGAGCACACTTCCAGCTCCGAGTGGGAACCCGTTACTGGGCCGGGGCCCGCCGCAACCCCTCGCACGTCTGGCGTGACGGATTACTTGGAGTGGGCTACTTCGACGGCCCTGTCGGTGGATGAGCGGGGAAGCTTTCCAGCCCAATACAATTTCATAGATTGCTGTGCCGGCATGGGCACCTCTCTGTTGTGCGCCTCTGCTTTGGGGCTGGCCTGCGCGCGGGTGCTGCCGGCAGGTAGCGGCGCCACGTGCCCTTACGGAGTAGCGGTGGCGGTAACGGAGAAGAGCGACGAGAAGTTGCGCGCTATCGGGCGGATGGCGGATGCCATGGTCGCCCGACGCGGCTCAAGAGTGCCCCGGACGCTACTGTTCAAGGACACTGCGGACACGGCCACTTCAACGCCCACCACGCGGGATGGGGAGCTCGTTGCCACACCCGTTGCCGAGCTACTGTTCATGGGCATTGTTTGCAAGGACGTGTCCAGGTGTTCCACCACTCCGAAATCAATCCTGGATGAAGAGGGCGCCTCGGGGCATTCGTGGGCAGGAGCCCGTCAGTACTTGCGCGCGCCTTAGCCTGACCAATTGCCTTGGGTGATCGTGCTGGAGTGCGTTGATCGGCTAGGGCACCATCGGAAGATCAATGGGAAAGTTGAGCCAGGCAGCAAGATCATCCAGGGGCATCTCGAAGATCTGGGTTACTGTGGCAGCTGGCGGAGGGTCAACGCAAAGCATTTCTACCTCCCCCAGTCTCGCCGCCGCATCTGGGGCATGTTCGTCCGACTCTGGGGCTTCGGCAGGGAGCGCCAAGCCGAGCAACTGAGGCGGGCCTGGGAGATCATTGATGCTTGCCAGATGAGGGGGCCCGAGCCCCCGCGCGACCTCTTACGGCGCGTGCCGCCCCCGCATGCTGCAGAGGCAGAGGCTGCAGGTCGCCGCCGCGCTACTGCGCGCGCTAGCCAGGACGCCACACCCACTCACGCAGAAAAGCTGGAGAAGTGCACGCAGCAGCGGGGGCTGACACACGAGCAACTACTGGATGGCAAGGCCGAGTTCGACGTCGCGTGCGGAGACTTGTTGGTCCAGCGCGAGCGGGAAGTCTTGCGGCTCCAGCTCTGCCGCTTGAAGATGGAGGGGCGGGCGCAGGCATGGACTGAGGCCCCCCTCCTCGCGTGGAACGCCGGCGACCGCATCGGCCGGAGCGAGCGCCCCAAGCCCGACTGCCCGCGCGTTCGACCCAACAAGAAGTTCATTGCCATCCAACGCGGGCCCCTGACCCGCATTTCTGATCACCAGCTTCTGGCGTTGCAAGGTGTTGGGCCCACGGAGTTCGAGTGGCTGCGCCCTGGCGCGGAAACAAGTTTGTCAGATCTCGCCGGGCACGCGCCCACCACGAATGTGTGCGGCGCATTCTTGTTGGCGGCCCTGGTCATGCTCCGCGGGCGCCCCAAGGCGGAGCACTAGTCCCGACGCGGTAGTCTGACTGCGCATTAGTCTTCATTGCCATGGAGTGCCGCGAGCATCCTTGTAGTCTCGCACTGAGCTTAGTGATTTTGCAGTGAGCTCTGGCTGCCTGCGCGGCCGATTGCACGAAGAGCGATGGCCAGCAAACGCCCCAGCTTCTCATTCCACACGCGCGCGCACGGTCCGAGACGTGCCCAGACATGCCCCTGGCACCATGCCGCCAGGAGCATGAGCAGGAGCATAAGCGGGAGCAGGATCATGGGGAGGAGAGGGGGAGGAGGAGGATAAGGAGGAACAGGAGAAGGAGGAGGAGGAGAAGTAGGAGGAGGAGGAGAATGAGGAGGATGGGGAGGAGGAGAAAGAGGAAGAGGAAGAGGGGGAGGAGCATCAGCGGGAGCAGGAGCAGGAGCAGGAGCATGATCATGAGCGCGAGCTGGCTCAGGGGGAGGAGAGGGGGGAGAGGAGGGGGAGCAGCAGGAGAAGGAGGAGGAGGATGAGAAGGAGGACGGTGATGATGATGAGGAGGAGAAAGAGGGGAAGGAGGAGGAGGACGAGGAGGACGAAGAGGACGAAGAGGAGGAGGAGGAGGAGGAGCATCAACGGGAGCAGGAGCATGATCATGAGCGGGAGCAGGATCAGGAGTAGGAGAGGGGGAAGGAGGAGGAGGAGGAGGAGAAGGGGGATGAGGAGGAGGAGGAGGAGGAACGAGGAGGATGAGGAGAAGGAGGAGGAGGAGGAGGAGGAGGAGGAGGAACATCAGCGGGAACAGTAGCAGGAGCAGGAGCAAGAGGAAGAGGAGGAGGAGGAGCAGGAGGTTTCCTCTCCCTCATCCCTTCCCTGTTTTCCCTCTTCGGATCTCCCCCGCGCGCGGATTGGAGTCGGGAGGTGCACGAGTGCGGCGAGAAGCTCTTGGCCGTGACCCTGCCGAAGCAGGTCAGCTTCGACGCCTGGGCGCAGGCGTCGCCCGAGCTTTTGGCGTACTTGCGGGCTGCTCTGGCCCGCCCCCCTCCTCCTCTACCTCCGCTTCCTGTTCGCGCGTTCGACGCTCAGCCTTGTCCCGGCTGCAATCCTATCAACGATGATTATGATAGTTGTGTTTTTTCCCAACCATCCTGCGGTGTTGGGTCCTCGTGTTGAAGAGACGGCGCCCCGCGTTCCTCTTTTCTCTCCTCTCCTCTCCTCTCCTCTCCTCTCCTCTCCTCCCCTCTCCTCCTTCTCCTCCCCCTCCTCCTCCTCCTTCTCCCTCCCCCCCCTCTTCCTTGCGTTTCACCCATCCAGCACAGCGTTTCGTAGCCCCATAGGAGCTCCACCGAAGGCCCCAGCGCCCGCGCCCGCATGCGTCACCCACACCCAATTCGGCACACCCCTCACACGTTTCGTGGCTCCATGGGGAGCTCCACCGAAGGCCCCAGCGCCCGCGCCCGCATGCGTCACCCACCCCCATTTCGGCACACCCCTCACACGCTTCGCGGCTCCATAGAGAGCTCCACCGAAGGCCCCAGTGCCCGCGCCCGCATGCGTCAGCCACGCCCATTTCGGCACGCCCCTCACACGCTTCGCGGCTCTATATATAGCGAGCTCCACCGAAGGCCCCAGTGCCCGCGCCCGCATGCGTCACCCACACCCATTTCGGCACACCCCTCACACGTTCGTGGCTCCATAAGGGAGCTCCACCGAAGGCCCCAGTGCCCGCGCCCGCATGCGTCAGCCACACCCATTTCGGCCCACCCCTCACACGTTTCGTGGCCCCATAGGGAGCTCCACCGAAGGCCCCAGTGCCCGCGCCCGCATGCGTCAGCCACACCCATTTCGGCACACCCCTCACACGCTTCGCGGCTCCATAGGGAGCTCCCCGAAGGCCCCAGCGCCCGCGCCCGCATGCGTCAGCCACACCCATTTCGGCACACCCCTCACACGTTTCGTGGCTGCATAGGGAGCTCCACCGAAGGCCCCACCGACCCATTTCGGCACACCCCCCACGCTTCGTGCTCCATGCCCGCGCCCAGTGCCCGCGCCCGCATGCGTCACCCACACCCATTTCGGCACACCCCTCACACACGCTTCGCGGCCCCATAGGGAGCTCCACCGAAGGCCCCAGTGCCCGCGCCCGCATGCGTCACCCACACCCATTGCGGCACACCCCTCACACGCTTCGCGGCTCCATAGGAGCTCCACCGAAGGCCGCAGCGCCCGCCCCCGCATGCGTCAGCCACACCCAATTCGGCACACCCCTCACACGTTTCGTGGCTCCATAGGGAGCTCCACCGAAGGCCCCAGTGCCCGCGCCCGCATGCGTCAGCCACACCCATTTCGGCACACCCCTCACACGTTTCGTGGCCCCATAGGGAGCTCAGCCGAAGGCCCCAGTGCCCGCGCCCGCATGCGTCAGCCACGCCCATGTCGGCACGCCCCTCACGCGTTCCGTGGCCCCATAGGGAGTTCCGCCGAAGGCCCCAGCGGGCGCGCCCGCATGCGTCCCGCACACCCATTTCGGCACACCCCTCGGCCCCAGTGCCCGCGCCCGCATGCGTCAACCACACCCATTTCGGCACACGCCTCAAACGTTTCGTGGTCCCATGGTGAGCTCCACCGAAGGCACCAGTGCCCGCGCCCGCATGCGTCAGCCACGCCCATTTCGTCAACTCCCTCACACGCTTCGCGGCCGCATAGGGAGCTCCACCGAAGGCCCTAGTGGGCGTGCCCGCATGCGCCCCGCACGCCCATTTCGGCACACCCCTCGTACGTTTCGTGGCCCAGTAGGGGGCTCCACCGAGAAGATATTCACAATTGCAGTATTCACGATTGCATATGGTTGGGTCCTTCGCCAGGATATTTTTCAAGTCGGCGGCAGAAGCGCTGCACCAACGGCCGTATCAGGGAGCGGCTGAATTCTAGCTGGGGAGCAACGATAAGCCCGATATGGAACATGCATCTGTTTCGCGCCGACTGCATGCAACAAGCTTGCTTTTTGTTGGCATCATTATAATCTAGCTTGTTGGGCACTTCCTACTCTAATCAGACGGCTCTCGAGTGCGAGCTCTCACTGCGGCCACGTTCTAACCCCTCCTCACACGGCGCGCATGGGGTTTGGCTCCGCTGCCGCTGGCCCCCGAAGCGCAGGGCGAACGGTGTGGGACACTCGGGCTGCCCTGGCAGGTCTCGCCCCGTAGGCCGTCACCAACAGGTTCCGCGTGGTTTTGAGAAGGTTGTTCCTGGCCTAGCGAACCGCCTTCTCATGCAACTTCAGCTGCCTCCTCAAGCGGATGTTGATGCCTTTGAGCGCCTTGTATTTCTGCTGCAGCTTCGCGCGCTGACTCGGCTCCAGCCTCGGATTAGACAAGGGCGCCCTCTGAGGGGCCATGGCGCTGCACGAACAAGTTTGCTGATGTAGGATTCTGGTTAGAAAACTTGGACTGAACCCAAATGGCTACGGGCGATGGCATGGAGGGGAGAGCTGAAGATTGAGAGCTGACGAAGAAGGATTGCGGAGGGTCGGTGATTGAGAACGGAATTTGGTGATGACGGAGGCGGTGGCTCGCCCCCTGTTAAAGCCGCATTCTGCCTTCTTGGGCGCCTCTTGAAACCCAGGGGTCCGATCTCCGAGACCGGCCCCGGACACAACAGGAATCGGCGTTGCTTGTGCCGCGTGTTGTTGCTTCTGCTTGACGTTATGCTCTGCTTGTGCTTGCTTGCGGCTGGTGTTCTTTGATGATGCCTGCTGCTGGTTGGTTGCGCGCGTGCATTGTTGCGCGTTGCCGTTCGGTCTTTTCTTCCCGCCTATTGTGGCATCGCTCTGGCATTCGATGCTGATGTTGCTGCTGCTCGCCCTCCACCGCCTCCTCCTCCTCCCCGTTTTCCTCCTCCTCCTCCTCGTGATCCTCCTCGCCGTCAGGCCGGCCACTTCTCAGGCGGTCGCTACGGTGGGCAAGCCGCACTGCCTGGGCCCCCTGGTGGCCCCTGCCTGATATCAGGGGAGGCCGCCCGTGATGAATTGTCGGAGGCGATGGCCCGCGGCCCACGGCTTGCTACCACCTTGGTAGCCGCGCCCACTGCCGCGGGCACACCGTCCGCCGTTCTTGCGGGGGTTCAGGCGCCAGGCAACGCACCGCGTTTTGTCCCAGGGGTGCCGATCCCGAACCCCCATGCGCCATTTTGGCGCGGGGTGCAGGGCTCTCCCTGGCTTCTTGCTTATTTGTTGGTTTCCTCCCTGAGGCGCCGCGTTCGGGCGCCATTGGGAGTTAGCCACGTAATGGATGTCGGAGTTCGAGTCCCAGTTCGCGCCTGCAACCCATTTCCGCGCGCGTGGCCCGTTGGCCTGTTCTGCCTTGCGGCCTGTCAACGCAAATCGCAATCCCCCTCCTCCTCCGCCTGCGCCCCCTTCTCCCGCGTGCCCCCGGGACCTGCTGATGAACGCTGCACGCCGACTCCACGGCGGCCCGCCCCCCGGCGGGGGCCGCAGGAGTAGCGCGGGGGGGGGGGGGGCGGGCGGGGGGGGCGAGGAGGCATCTATCGAGGCAGCAGCCAGGGGGGCCGACAGGGTGCGCACAACTTCTACATACAATCGCTGTGCCCCTGCAGGGTGCCGAGGGGGGCCAGCGACAGGTTTCCTCCCTCCTTCCGTCCCTCCGTCCTCCCTCCCGCCCTTCGGCCCCCCCTTTCCCCCTCCGTTCCCCCGTCCCTCCTTCCATCCTTCCGCCCCCCCCCCTCCCGCCCGCCCGCCCTCCCTCCTCCCGCCCGCCCCGCCCCTCCTGCCCGCCCTCCCTCCGCCCCCCCCCATCCCTCCCTCCCGCCCCCCCTCCGCCCCCCTTCCGGACTCTCAGGGGTGAGAGCGGCCATGCTCATTAGCCGGGCTGGAAAAATTGCAAGGCCACGCATCGCATAACGCAGCCAGCCGGGCTGGGAAAATAGCCAGCCGGGCCGGAAAATTGCCGGGCCACGCCGCCGCGCAGGCCACGCATCGCACGCGCGATGTCAGCACGCGGTGCCAT